TAAATGAATGTATGATGTATTGATAGAATTAAGTTGCCAACTAAGATACATAAATGTATGTAAATTTGAAAAAGTAAATTGTAATTTGAGAAAGTGAATTATGTTGTGAAACAAACTTGCTTGTATATATATATGATATTGCATTATGCTGAGGGTACCCCAATGGACGATATATGGGTAAGCCTAAATATGAAATAAGCAAGTGTATGTTATTGTGTAATTTGTTTCACTTGTGTATATATGTGTTGATTGTGAGTTGATTGTGAATTGATTGTGAATTGTGTAAATATATAAGAACTTGATAGAAATAGTGAGGCAGAGCCCCATATATAAGAGTTGGAGGGTTGAAAGTGAAATAAGTCTAATTGTATATATGTGAATATGTGTTGTATATGTTTTCCTCAAATAAGTCCATAATTGTGTAATGTGGCATTGAGAGGCCAAAATGAGCAAATGATGTGATATATATGATATGTAGTGTTAATCAGGTGTATGGTCCTTTTGGACTTGATTCAAGGCCCAAAATGGTCTAATGGGACAAGGAATGAGAACTGAGCACTTAAGGTGAAAGTTTTAAAAAGAAAAAGTGATTTTTTATACCTGATTGTTTAATTTTAGATCGGACCGTTAGATCGAGTCTAAACTTATTCTATTAGCTGGTACATGTTGTAAGTTTCATGTGGGCACTTGAATCACTTCAATTGGACGTCGAATGTGAAAATGGCGCACATCAAAATTTCGTCATTTTTGTTGATAAATGACATTAAAAAATTTAGGTTGGCGTGCCATGGTGCATGGCCTATCACACCGCAAAGCATGACATAGGAAGTCAGGCATGTGGTCTATGCCACATGCCGCAGTGCATGTATTGCACGCCGCGGCACACGGCTTTTTTTCAAGGTTAAGAATTTATATCTTGTTAAGTCATATACTATGTTTATGCTTTCATTAACCCTCTTATTTGAATACATATTTTAAGAAGTTGGGATCCTATAATTTGAAAAAAAATAAAAGGCTACTACTCTGATGTTATTGTGTTTTTGGTTTGTTGATTGTGTGATTGGGAATGGTGAAACTCGGTTTGAGCTAGGACTTTACAATCAAGTTCAGTAACCATTTTATATACTAGCTTGAAAAGAAAAGATTTATTTTGCGATTCTAGATTCTTTAGTCCACAGCCTACATTACTCAATAGTTGGCATATCTCTTTCCACTTGATAAGATTGATACCACAGTGATCTTCCAAGTACCCCCAAATAAACTTTTGTATAAGCTTTTTAATGGCATGACAGCAGGAGGATGGGAGCATAGTACTTTGCATCGTGTAAAATGGAATGAAAGTGAGAATAGCTTTAGCAAGAGTGATCCGTCCAACAAGAGAAAGAGATTGACTCTTTCACTTGTGAGCTTCTGTTGAACTCTATCCAATAGATACTGATAGGTGCAAATGCTAACTCTACTAGTGATCAAAGGTACCCCGAGATATCTCCCAAGATTATCAGTATGTTGGAAGTCTAGTTTATGACAAATGTTGTTACAAGTGACAGCAGCAACATTTTTAGAGAAATATACATGGGTTTTGGATTGGCTGAAATCACAAAACTAGTTGAGCACTTTTTTAACAACTACAATTTGATCATCTGAAGTATCACCAAATAAATTTATATTTAATTTAATAGTAGGAAAAGAGCCACATCTAATTTCTTAAATAATACTTTTATTTTAATATAATTTCAAATTTGAGATGAACAATTATTATAATAGAGTCTTTGACATAATCACATGATTCTACCATGTAAACAAATGTAACACAGGGAGAGTATGAATGTGGAAAATGGAGACACTAATTTCAAAGATACTTGCTCTTTTTTTTAAAAAAAAATGTTAGGGTTTCTAATATCCTAAACCTACCTAACATCAAGCCGAGTGAACTTAAATGAGGGCTTAGATTAATTCGAATTGAGTATTAAAGGATCCTTTCAAGCAATAAACTATGCCATAGAATTTTAACCCTATTGCATTCCCATAGTTCGTACTCGACATTAATGATTAAATTAAAGAAATCACTTATCATTTGATATAAACACCCTTTGAAACACTAGCAAGTGAACTTGCAATTGGATTCACAATTTTGGAAACTAGAGACGAAAACACATCACTTAAGGATCTTATTGTTTGGAAAATATCCTCCATGAGAAATGCACTAACACATTCCCACAACTCTATTTCATTCTAATGTAGTCATTGAAGCAGAACTTCACAATTTTAACATCTTGCCCCTTAATCTTCAACTAATTAAGTGAACTTAAAAACAGTTTAGACACTTTGATTCATGATAAAATTTGATCTTTGGTTGAATTCTAGAGATGCATAAAGCTTAAACCCCTAATTCATGAAACTCAACAATCTCAAAGTCTTGGTACTTGTTTATTTTATTATCAATTATAAGAATCATAACTATACATGTTAAAATCAATATCAACACAAAATCATTGTTATTTCATGAGCTACTGCTGCTAGCATTTAATTTTAAAAATCAATTTTATACATTAATTACAACTAAACTCAAATTTTCCAACTCAAATCCAAACACACCTTTGGAGTATAACATTGTGCTTTGACATATCTTAAGATTATAGGGTTCGGGCAATCCGATCAATCAATCTATGTTTTGATGTATCTGATTTGAAGTGATTTTAAGCTGTAAAATCCTAACAATTTTGTGTTTAGATACATATTGATTTGAATTTGGGTCAAATCTCCTATTTGAACATTTAAACATTTATGAATTTGAATTTTATCCAAATTCAAATTTTATCTTAATTCTTTTATAATTTGAAATCATTTTTAAACTCTTATTATTTCAAATCGTTATATACACACTTAAAAAACTACCTGATAGTAATAATCTTTCTTATTTAAACTATTCAAATAAAAAATTTTAAATACATAATTCATTAAAAAAATTAAATACTGAATTTAAAATTTGAGATTTTACATCTAAATTTTAAATCCAAATATACCAATTCAAACACTATTTTAATATATTTAAGCTCATAATCATTTAAAATTTATTCCACATATACTTACTAATGCATAGAAAGACTTTTTTTTAATTATGTTGGTATAATCCTATGAGATGAAGATAATATTTCTTAATCGCCAAGATAACTGCTGATAAATAAAACCACTTTACATAATCAAACTCAATGTTAAAAAGACATTGAGACCTTTGCACGAAGTTGATGAGAACCACTAGTGGCCGTCAAAGCCCACTACACAAAAAAAGGAGGAAAAAAAGAAAAGCCCAGCAAATTAAAGTAAAAGGTTGGGCAAAAAACCAATAAAATAAAGTAAAAGAAGCTGCTTTATTTATTTTTTTTCTTTCTCCGCGGCACTTCGAACGTGGGCCAATAAGAAAATTACAAGTGCCTCTTTTAACTTCAAATTATTTGTGACTTTTCTCTCTAACTTTAAAAATACAAAATATTCCACTTCTAATTACACCTGGACAATATTCGAATTTGATACTGTCAAAATATCCTTCAAATGATTTGTTTTTTACATTCATGTGAACTTGATTTTTTTTTTGACCTGAATGTGAACTTAAATTTAAAACTTTACATTTCATTAAAACCAACTCCTATTAATACTTTCTTTTCATATACAATCTGAACGATCTATTTGATTATTCATTTCATGTGGTGCATGTGCATTGAGTATTATTACTTGGATGCTCTTGAAAACATGACTATAATACTTGTTATGGCAGTAACTAAATGAATAATACATTTGGTTTGTCTTTATCCATGATCTTAAATTACTAAATTAAATGGACAATTAACACACGAAACTATGGATAGAAAGAGGGTAGGATCGCATTTTAACAAGTGTGTGAAGTGAAAAAAAGTAGAAGTTTGTCCGGAAAAAAAAAACAAAGTAGAAATTATTTTTCAAAACTCAAATTTTGAAGGGAAAAAAAAAAAAAGAAAAGCAAGGCATTAAAGAAGCTTTCGGAGAACAACCTGATCATTGCGTTGAGTCAGTCTGACCAAAAAAAAAAAATGGGGAATACAGTAATTGAGTTAAAAGTTTTTCTTATCCAACCAATACTATTTCTTCATATGTAAGAAGGAAATTCCATTTTCTTCAAGTAAAATCGATAATTATATCTAAAAAACAATTTTTCCCCAAAAAAAGTTTTATCCATCACTGCACACATTTAGGTTGCTTAAACATAAGGCCTTAGATTTGAATTCATCCCAACAATCAGATAGTTATATCAAACCAAAAAATAAAAAAAAGTGATTCATCATCCACTAACAAGTTTTGATTTAGAAATTATGATGACTTACACATAAAATTTTAAATTTAAATTTGTGTGGATATAAAGAATTACTTTCAATTGATCTTGAAAATCTAATCAAAAAAGTGATTCATCATCTGCCAACAATTGTTAGTCCAAAAACTATGACCACATAAAACAAAAGGAGTTAAATGTAAGGATAAAAGAATAAATTGACTTCTAAATAATAGGTCTAGAAATATTTAAAATTTAAAATTTATTTTTGATATAATATTTTTTTAATTTTAAAAAATAATAAAATCTGATCCTTATTATTAATAAAAGTTAATTTTAATAATTAATTAATAAAAAAATTATAAAAAATTATCTCAAAAATTATAAAAAAGTAATCAAAAAATTAAATAAAAAAATTCAAAAATTACATACTAAGACCCAAAAAAATAGAAAATGATCTAGAAATTTTATTGATCTTTTTAAATAATTTTTAAGGTTTTTTAGTTATTTTTTTATCAACTAGTGGTTAAAAATAATTTTTATTAATAATAAGGCTAGGTTATATTGTTTTAATATTAAGGAGTAATCTGATGTTTTAGGCTGCATTGAATTCCATGTGAATGCAGCGAGTTACTTTTATTTTGTCATATATATTTAAGTGATTCATCATCCATTTTCAGGACTTGATCGTTATCTTGGTGGAGAAAGAAACTGAACAAAGTAAATTCCTTTCCGGGTTCTTCTCTTTCTCTCCGTGTGAAGAGTGAAGATGTACGTAACGAGGCCACTGTCGATGTACAGAAGTAATCCGAGCACCATGGAAGTGCCGCCGCCTGATGCACCGTACTCTGGCTATCTGGTCATCACCGACGAGGACGCCGATGCTGAAGACAGATACTGCTGGGGACTGTGCCGCCGCAACAAGGTCAAGAAACTTCCATTCCCGCAAGACAAGATCTTCACCATCGTCCATTGGTCGGAGCATTACCGGACCTCCGCCGTCAAGGTTGCCTTCATCCCCGTCCCGGATCAGCCCCTCTCTTCTAATCGCTACTACATCGTCAGAGCCAATGGCAGACACAAAGGGTTTGTATATTTGTATTTGTGTTCCCACCATGAACTAACTCCTTATACTTTAGTTTTTGCTTTGATTGATTCACACTCTAGTTGATATCACTAGCTAGCTTGGGACTGAAGAGATCAATAAGCAAGTTTTTGCTTAGGGAAAAAAAAAACATAAAGATTTATTTTTACCTTAACACTACGTAGGAAAGAATCTAGCCTCATACAAAATGCAAAAATTGCTGGGAGAATTATGCATAGATCCCTGCAACACGATTAGATATTACAAATATTTATATAGGTGGATTGACAACTTAACAAAGCAAAATCACAATTATTTTAGTTGTCATTTTGTTCTATTAACTATTAAATTCGCAATGCATCTTATTTAATTGTGTTTCGAGTATCTCGAAGTAACTCTCTTATAATTGTTTTGGTTATACTCCCTCCCTGGCATTTTTTTTTTCAAAGGATTTTGTTAAAAAATATAGGAAAAATTATGTATAGATTCCACGGAATAGACTTATTTGCAAATGAGTCTTGCAAAATTTAGAAATCACATCTAAGTTGTTTAGGACCTAAGCGTAACTTGAAATTAGCGTGTGAAGATAATATTATTCTTACTTATAATGCATGATCAATTTAACTATTAGATATGTAAAGTTACAGTTATAAAAAATTAAAATAATAATTATAAATTATTAATGAAGTAATTGTAAACAAATAGTATTAAATTTTACCAGTAACATATGATCGATTTAATTATTAGATATATGAAATTATAGTTGTAAAATATTGAAGTGATATTTGTAAATTACTAATGAAGTAGTTGTACATAACTAGTATTAAACTTGTAAAGCATGGTCAATTTAACTATTATATATGTGGAGTTACAATTGTAAAAAGTTAAGGTGATAGTTGTAAATTACTGATAAAATAATTATAAATTACTTGATCGATGTAATTTATTTTTAATCAGGGCATTATGATTTTTGCACACTAATTTCAAATTACACCTAGGCCCCAACTATCCCAAGGAACTTGACTATAATTTTTTTTTTAATTTCACAGAATTTACTTGTAGATAAATCTGATTTACAGGACCTATGTATAATTTTCTTAAAAATATAAGGTATTTTTCAATCTTCCAAAGTACAATAATAAGGTTTTTTTTCCTAAAAATACCTTAATTAGAAGTGTAATTAATAAGACTTTCTAATTGAGGCATCCCAATAAACAAGGATAACCATGAGAATAATGTGTAATTACAAAACAATTAATTAATTCATTGAAGATATCATTTGATTAAAACTACCTTATAATGCTGAACAAATGGAGTATGAATTTTCAGGGACTCAAAAAGTGGGTTGAAATTTGTGTAGGAAAGCGTGCAGATGCGCAAAAGAGAGGGACATAGTGAGTTGCTGCTTGAGCAATCTGTTGAGTGACAAGAAGCCAAAAGCATTCAATGTGAAGGACGTGTACCAAATTTTCAAGATCCATACTCACCAGAGTGGCGGCTTCTTTGCAAAGTCCATTGTTCCTGATGGCATCCCTCCCAGTTTCCTCAGGACAAAAGGATGGACACTTCGCATCTCATCCACATCCTACTCTCGCAGATCTTGCAGGTCTTGCCTTTTCCTTTCCTTTCCTTTTTTTTTATTTGAGATAAATCTGTGCTTAATTTGGATCTCCTCTAATTATCAATCCATGCAAATAAAGAGAGGTTCAATGTTGGGAAAGGTGCCCACATTTAATACCCAACCTCATCTCAAATAGCATTTCTTCTAATAAAAAGATGCTTTGCTACAAGCAATGAAAAAAATAATAGAGAGATACACATGGGGATGATCCCTTTTGATGGGTGCGATCTACTATCATATCTATCCCTCTCTAATTGCATATACTCCCCGATTAGATAGAATCTTTGTTATGTATGTATGGTTAACAGTTAATGTGACAAATTGGATCAATGGAAGTATGATCCATGTATGAATTCAGTTTGGTTTTTGTTTCTTGATATATTCATATTTTCAAGCATACACATTTTTTTTTATTATGATTGATATTGGGAAAATATAACTTTTATTTCCTAAACTCACTTAGTTATTGATTTTATCCTTAAAATTTGATTCAGAACACCTTAATCCCTGTAGTTTACTTTTTTTAATTCTATATATAAATCATCTCTAACTTATCAATACCAAGACAAGTTAGTTAAAGTAATAAACTTGTCTTAAAGTTAAACTATTTTGCAATTTTGCCTCTAACTTCAAATAATAAAGATTTGATAAGGAGGAAAAATTTTCCTGAAAATTAAAATAGTGCATTTTCTTTAGAATCAAAATTTAGTTTAAAGTTAAGAAACTATAGGGATTGAGTTGTTTAGAGACAGAATCAATAATTGAGAAAAATTCAAGAACTAGAGATTATATTCTCCCAATTATATTTCAAATATTTATGTATAATAATTATTTTTTATTTCCTATAGGAAGCTCACTGAAGCTCTTGGTGTGGACACTGCTCTAAGATCACAGCTTCCACGTTTCCACTTCCCCTACACAAGGCAACGGTCTGCTCCAGTGACTGTAGGAAGATGGTACTGCCCCTTTATATTTGTAAGGGAAGGAGTGAGCAGAAGACTAAGGAGCCAAATGAAGAAGTCCATATTTTACAGCATGACACTTCAGCAAAGGTGGGAGGAGATATATTCTTGTGGGAGAGGAGAGATTACAGAAGAAAACGGCGTCGTTCACGTGAATGCCGACGTGGAGAGAGAGGTGGTTATGGTGGGAGGCATGGAAGCAAGGAAGAGTGATAGGGTTGATCCTAATGGTTTCTATTGGTACAGAGCTCATGATCCATACAAGAGGAAAAGGGCAACTGTGGGACTGAACACAGCAATTGTTGAGAATATGAGATGGGTTGAAGAGGAAGGAGGGAGGGCCTGTGGGAGAGAAAGGGTAGTGAGAGTGAGAGAACAAGTGACAATGTTGGAGGGTAGTGAATGGGAAAGGCTTAGCTGCTATGTCATGGTAGAGAGCTTCTGTTTGAGGAGACTGGATGGTAGATTACTGCTAAAATATGACTTCAGGCACACCCAAAAGATCAGAATTAAATGGGAATAAATAACACTTGTCTTATTTTGTCAAACCAAGAGAGAACAAGGGAGAATGACAAGTAAGTCCTAAAACAAAAAATTAATAACAGTTAAGTTCTTGATAAAAAATTTTAAAAAATAAATTACAAATATCAATTTAAATAATTATAAATTCAGTTTTTGTAACTTATTTTAAAAAAAAATTGTCAAGAATCTAATTGTTATTAATTTTTTATTTCGGGACATTACTGCCATTCTCCCAAAGAATGATGCGCTATCCCTTTCTCCTTTAAGCTTTGCATGTTTTGCAGTAATTCAGGACAAAACCTGTACTGAACATTATGTCATGAAATTTTGGCAGCAGGTTTAGTGATATTTCAGTTGTGCACCAAATTAAATGTGAATCATTACATAAGCAGATAACAGCAACTTTACTTCAGAATCAGTGAATATATTAAGTTTCATACAGCCATAAAGGTAAGGCTCAGATAGGTTCTAAGCCAAACATTTTACATCAAGTCAACATTCAAGGTACAATTGTTAAACTGCTAACTTAAGCATCATACAGGTAAGACTCAGATAGGTTCTAAGCCAAACATTTTACATCAAGTCAACATTCAAGGTACAACTGTTAAACTGGTAACTTAAGCACCATACAGGTAAGACTCAGATAGGTTCTAAGCCCACTATTTTACATTAAGTCAACATCCAAGGAGCAACTGTTAAACTGGAAAATGAAGTATCATACAAGTAAGACTCAGATAGGTTCTAAGCCCACTGTTTTACATTAAGTCAACATCCAAAAACTACGGTTAAACTGTGCAGATATGACCCACAAAGCCCCATATTTAGTCGCATAGATTGATAACACGAGAGACCCTTTCAAAGAAGATGGGGCACATGCTGGTGCTGAACATGATATCCTCTCTCATCCATTCTGGTGCTACTCTTTCAAATGTGCCCAGAGATAAAACATGGTACAGCAGCTCTGCTTCCTCTCCAGGAGCCTTGCTTACCCAAGTTAAACAGAAAGAGTAACCTACCATAGCGACAAGCAATTGTTAGTCAGATGTCAAATGGCAATAAACTTCATGGAAAATAATAATTCAAATGCTCCCCTAAAACTTTGAGCCATTTGCAAATAACCCCTCAACCTTCAAAATTAGAAATACTTCCTCCATCCCAATTTATACGACACATTTTTAGGAAAATTTTGACGTCCCAAAATATAAGACACTTTAATAAAAATAAAGTTTAATTAATGATGCTTTTTCAATATTACACTTGACATTATATTCTCTCTCTTTTAATATTTTTTTCACAAATAAAGTATTAGATGAAGGGCATTCTTAAAAGTTTTTTCTTTTTTTTTAAAGGTGAAGTTGTAGAACATATTTAATAAGCTTTATTAATATATGTGATTTTGTCTAAAAATATCTTATATTGGGACGAGAGTAGTATTTACCTCAAGTTTTCTTTTCAAAACTCATGGAAGTGCATGGAGTGACAAATGATAGAATTTAAGGGTCTGTTTGGTTCAAAGGGAGGGGAGAGGGGAGGGGGGAGGGGGGGACGGGAGGGGAAATTTCCCCTTCCCTCTAATTTCCCCTCCCCCCAACCAGACACATCCTAAGAAGCATCTCCATCATCAGGGTTGACTAAAGAAATGGATAGAAAGATTCAGATCTTGAAAGGTGAGAAATTATTTTCCAATTTTCAAAGTTGGGATGCAAATGGCTCAAAGTTGAAGAAGAGCATCTTCATTCAACCAAAAAACTATCCATGAACTACTTCTGAATTGAAATGTTTTGCCCAAGAGTGATCCGGATATCAAAACAGAAAACAATGATGGTCTACTGGCTACGGAACGTCTTCCTGAACCAAGAGTAACTTTCAATCATTGAATTGTAAAAATCTACAAGAGCAATGGATAATGAATTTCAACGCTGTTCTACTGGCTAATTGACAACCAAGGAGGGAAAAAAAGATATCCAAGTAATGATTGATTAATGAATAATAACTAAATGGCCAGGACAGAACACTTTGCTGCTCTGCCATGAAAGTCAATATTATATAAATCAACTTCATTAACCCAGAAGACACTGTCATACCTGACTCCCGTATGGGTGTCAGGTGTGACAGTTGTGCCAGAAAATAGTGATGCATCAAAATTCACCATTTTTACTGGAACCATCTGTCTATGAAGTAAATGTAGTCCTTGAATCCCTCATGACTCGCAAACAGAAGACTTCTGTACACTGGGGGGAAATGCCATCCGGGAGAATAGCACGTCCATACATGCCCGAGTATATATTACACAGCACAACACATTTGAAACACAGTCAAATGCAGGCGCTATATACTACACAATACTCTGATTGGGCAGTAACAAATGTGATGACACTAGACAACAGTTATTACTGTCACGCTGGTAAATGAAAATTAATCTTAAAATCTTCTTAACACCAATAGACACTCATGTCTCCCATTTCTTCCATTTTCAATCTTCTAAAAAGAACTTGATATATTGTCGTGTTCATTCCAGCATCCATGGTGCTTAGGTACAACTGTGCTACAGCAACAGCGTCCATGATACTTGGGAGGCACATTATGCCTCCATTTTGCCGGCACCTCATATCTATCAAAATACATTGGAATGTCCAAATCATGGAGATACTTAAGAATGCAAGAAAATAATCCACCAAACACCTCTATAAATTTACATGGTATAGAGGCAAGCCCACAACAGCAGATGTGACTAACTGCCGCCCATTATAACAAAACATCCTTTTTAAAAAAAAATGTAGCCATTAACATAGAGAAAATTAATTAAACAACCGGACTGCAGAATCCTCCAACAAAGATTCAGATTAAAACTGTGTACTCAAGCTTATTAACCCAGACGTGTTTACTCAAAATCAAACTTTGAGACATTAAACTATTAATTATTAAATTATTAAAGTCAAAATACACTAAAATTTCATAAAAAATCGGTTCATTTAAAAATTAAAAAAATATAATAGAATTACCGCTTGATTGATGGATGGCTGAAATGCATACTCGTCCAGTTTGATAGTCAGTGGATAATTTCATGCCCAGGACATGCTCAAAAAGGGCTTGAACTAGCCAGTTTCTTTCCTGCAAATTAGCACCTGTTGAAAGCAAGGGTTAACAAAGTATGCAAGTGAAAAATTTCACATAGGAAGCTGCATATACTTTAACAACACCAACCTGATTGGTCACTTGCCCCAGAACCACACATCAGCTGCTTTTTTACAACATAACATCAGCATATTGAGACATTCATATTTTCCACTCAAATGTGATAATTGAGATGTGCATATATATTATAATTACAAGTGTATAATTGCATAGATGAGCAAGCATTTCCTTGCCTCTATTTTGCATTTCTCAGGTGTTAAAGGCTCACCTCACCAATGGCAGTCTCATTACATAAGTTTTGTGTTGCTGAGTCTCCCGCCACAGAATTGTCTTCAGCTTTTCCACATGGTATAGACCTATCTATTTCTTCTAATGCATCATGCCTAGTACGTTTTCTAGTCTTTCTTACAGATGAGGTATTGGATATAGAATGGAGTTCATCACCTTCACGCATTTTATTATTGTTTTGCTTCAAGTTACCAGAATTTCCATCCTGATGTAGCTTTTGGAATTTCCCAATTTCTTCAATAAGAACCTCATCTGCCAAAAGTTCAAACTCCTAAGTCCTGAATATGAAAGAGGAATTGATAAAAATGAAAGGAAGAGAGCAGGACACTGGATGAGGTTATTATGTAAAGCTTATAGGCAATCAAGAACTTTCCAAGAAAACATAGTCACAATCCAATAACAAGTCAATATTGACATTGAAATTCTGAGGATAGAGGTCAGAGATAGACTTATGTAGCTATCAGAAGAGTAACTCTTACTTTACCCCTTTAATAAGGATTTAACCAGAAAATATGAAAAGTAAAAAAATGTTACATGCTAAGAAACTCAAGCTAGTCACATGCAACTTTTGAAAATCGATCCCTAACCAGTTTTGAACAGTTATGACTTTCTCTCTAAACGTAAGATTCAAGTCCATTCTGCTGAACGAGGAAAAAGTGTTTGACATAAGAAAATTTGCCAACCTAACTAACACCAATTATTTGATTGGTTTCTGAATAAAGGATTTTCTGTTATTCACATCCTTTCAGGTAAATAAACAGAGACTAAGCCCAAGGGAATGCAACCCATGTACATCAAATGTCCATTATAATACCAATACCCTGTTAGGGAAGATTAAAGAACTATAGATAATAAAGCAAAAAGATGTTGAAAGAAGAAATTATGCATATTAAATCTGCAGTTCTTTTACTTGGCGAAAAATTGCCTTTAAAAGGTGTGAAACTCTCTGGAAAAACATACAATAACTTTTTCTTATTCCACACTAAGTAATCGTCATCCACAATATATAATAAAATGCATATACAGAACAATAGGAACACGTGCAGATATTATCACTTAATAAAGCAAGCAAAGTAGGTTCAAGAATTTTGAGCAACATCAAAGAATGATCCAAGTGTCTTACTTTTCTTGCTCTCCTCCATTACAAGCCTTTGATAATCAGACACCTCTTTGTCTTTGGCAAGCCTAACATAGTTAATACGCTTTCAGCCCTCCAAACAAAATACATCAATATGAACAAAAGAACAAAATCTGACCATGAAACAAAGCAGTCAAGAAAGAAAGCAGAAGATGGAAATGCATGCCTTATTGAAGCCACTTCACTTCTCAAACCACTTATTTGTTCATGCAACTGGTTATTTTCGCTCTTCAAGTGCTCTATCAACTCCTCTGCAGCTGTAATAATGAAGTCCGATAAGGGATGGCTAACAATTAGCGCTAGTGCTTAAGTTGCTTCAACCAAGAGAGCCAGAAAAAAAAATATAAATAAAAAGCATCAAATAAGAAATAATTTTTCAGAACTCAACCACTATGCCTAGCTACAAGACACAGTTCAATGCAATTAATTATTTTGCATCACACTTTGAAAAATTATATGCCAAAGCTAAAGAGGAAGAGGGGGGGGGGCAAAGGTCAGAGTCAGAAGCCAGGAATTTAAAAACAGAAAAAAAGGTGTTTGCAAGACCTCCTGAACATGGTTTTAAAAGCCATTTATATAGGGCCAAAATTCAAAATCTATTACAAATTCTTCAGCAAACTCGTATTGTCATAAATTTATAATTGCGGTCTTCAGAAACTTCAAGAAAGTAATCTAAGTTATAAGCATAAAGAAGATACATACCAGACATAAACTTCATAAATTTAACTTCTTGATCTTTATTTATCTGATCAAACTCAGACAGTTTCTTAGCCTGTAACACGAAAGAAAATTATGAATCCATAACAAAACCAAACTCATGTTTGTTTGCTGCATCATTTATCAGATGAAATATCAATTTTATTCACCCATGTTCATCTCAAAGCTTTAATTCACAACCAAATGCAAAGTTCATATAATTTTCTGAAACAACAAATTTAAAAAAATGAACATCAAAATCAAGTATCTCAAAACATCTTTTATTAATGCTTTGAGGCTATTTAACAATGAAAAAAATGAATGTGAAGCTACAAAATAGGCACTTAGAGATTAGCATCAATAAAGGGAGAGTCAGACACCTTTAGCTTGGTATACTTGTCATAGAGCTTGGAGTACAGAGCCTCCATTTATGAAATGGTGACTGCGGCTGCTGCTGTTGTGGAAGAAACTGAAAGTATTGGGGATCAGAGCATCAGTCAAGCCCGAATGAGATTTCAGTCAGTAAGCATCAGTGAGTAGCTGTTGCAGTTTCCTTTGGTCCCACACAAAATTAGTAGCAACGCAATTAAATGAATAGCATCTTAAATTTGAAATGAAACTTAAAGAATGGGAAATAGAAGAAAACCCAAGATAATCCAAACAAAGCATTGGTTCGGCAGGAACTAGAAAAATATAGTCAACTGCAAGAAAACTTCTAAGTCCAAAGTTCCAACAGCACAAAGCTGGAAGATTGGACTTCTATGCTTTGAGTTATTCCAATATAACATCCAACTAGTAGGCTCCGTTCCACACATGTTGAGTATGGGCGATAATCACCCAACTCACTGGCATAGGCGGGCCTATACTACAGCACCCACTGAAGTCTCTGAAATATGCATAGTTGATCCAATAACCTTTCAACTTTTGCTCCAGATACTTTCACACAACTCGAGCCAAGTCACTTACAAGATCATACATCACAAATACCTTGAGAATTTTCCAAAATTGATGATAATATAAAAAGATTAATAAATAGAATGCCAATACACAACAAATCCAACATTGCAAAACAACACAACCTAAATCAGACAAGTCGCTACTAATAAGTATGAAGAGGGAAGAGGTATAACAGCCAATTGCACACCATTCAAGCAAAAACTAGTACAGAAAAAAAAAACATGTAAACATTCCCAACTTCAAAAGCGTCAATATTCAACGATTACATGACCCGATTCAAAGCCAAATTAAAATGAAAAAAATTAAAACAAAGCAAGAACAGCCACGCAGGGAACAGATTCAAATCTAGATTATTCAAAGCCAGATTAAACAAATAAATCTCACCGGAGGTTGGGAGTAGAGAAAGCCCTAAAGTTCAACCTTCTTCACCGCTTGCCCGAGAACAACCGCGCAGGGCTGGCAAGTGGCAACGGTGGACGGCGTCCGACGGAGTGTGGAATGCTTGTTCGTCGACGAAGAGAACTGATCCGCTACTCACCAGATTGGGTTTTATCGGGGTTACAATTAACGACATTTCCTCCGGTGCATTTCGCGGGAATGTTTAGAATTTAAACGGCAAGCAGCGTAAATTTCGTAAAGTATATTTTTGATTTTTGAGAAAAGTACATTGAAGTCTTACAAAAAAAAAATTTATTGTTTGGAAGTCCCATAAATTTTATAAAATACTTTTAAATTTTAAATTCTGCATATTGACAACTTTACAAAAGATATTAACAATTGAGCAAAGGTCATTTGTAACTTGTAATACATAGTGGTAAATTATCATTGCTCAATTGTTAATACTCTTAATCAAATTATTAATATACAAGATTTGGGACTTTGTAATATTTTGTAAAATTTATATAACCTTTCGATAATAAACTTCTTTCTATGGGATTTGAATATAATTTCTCCTTGATTTTTTAACCTTATACTATTAGTTTTAAATAATTATTCTCTATGTTAATTATTGTTATTTTAAAAAATTAAAATTAATATTTAATATGTTGGTTTTTTAATATTTGAGAATTCAATATAAAAACTTTTTATTGATAAAACTAATGGTGTTATAATTGTGAGACTGAAAAAACACTTTAAAAAACTAATAGAGTACAAAACTTCTTACTCTCCTTTTGTTGCTTGGTGCTCAGTGCCTTCATTTTAGTCTCAATTTTACATTTTCAATCTTTTAAATTCCTTCACTCTCATTTTTCTTTTTACACTATCTTTCATAAAAAGCATTTAAATACCACAACCTCAATAAGATTGCACCATTGTTGGATATATGTAGAGCTAGCAATTTGGAAGGGGTGAATTTATTTGAATTAGGCTTATAATATATTACTCTCTTTAAAAAGCTCAATTCAGGTGGGTTTGGGTTTAGCCCGAATTACTAACTCTAAATATGTGGAAGATACTAGTAAAATTTAACCGTGTTTTCTCCCAAACTTACTTTGATGTTTTTAAGTGCCATTGTGGTTATCCTAAGAAACTTATACCCTAACATATGAACTAACTTTCACACTTTACACAACTTGCTTCTATGGTCTATATACTTTAAAATATCTTTCCGTGTAAGCACATCGCTCTTAAACCTAATGACTAGAGCTAGCAATTAGGGCAAGCTAACCTTTTTAAGTCTAAAAATAGTAAGGGCTGAGTTACTACTCTAAGATATATAAGAAATGGTAATTCAGGATTAAAAGAGCTAGCTCTAATAAGCCTAGAAATAAAATGGTCGATCCTAACCCTTTTAAGCCCCTATCTTTTTTTTTTAAATTAGTTTAAAAAACAAAAGACTAATTAAAAGTTTAATATTTTTGCTACCGAGAAGGCTCCACAGGAGAAAGGCTAAACTATGTTAATGTTGATAATAATGATAGTAGTAATTTTCAAGATTTTGCTAATTATGCTAACAAAGTTTAGTTTTTATTGGTGTTAATTTTAATGCTACTATCTGATATCAAATCTAAATGTTTTAGTTTTACATATTTGTTGATAATTTTGGTGCGGATTTATTTAAATTTATTTCACTAGACTTAATCTTATATGTGTAATAACTTTTTTTTTGAATTATAAATATATGTTTTAGGTTTTTAATTTGAAAAAAAAAAAAGAAATTAGAGTCAAGGCCAGCAAGGCTAGCCTTAAGCCTTTAGGGCTAGAGTCAAGTTTTGCAAAATAGAATTGTAAAGTATAATTGAACTTAACAGGATTGGCCCATTTAAGTTCTAGTCCTAATTGGCCGGCTTTACTAATAATCACTTCTATTGGTCCATTAGTCACTACTTTATGGTCCCTATTCACATTATGATCAAGTCCATCTATTACAAAACATGAACTCAAATAAATAAAAATGCGGGTGGAAGTGTAAAAAGATGCTTGTTTAATGCTTGGTTTGATGCAATGGAAGCCACTTCCATAGGTGTAGCATTGAAAGTTGAAATCCATCCCCACTCCTCCCCCTAAACCAAAGATAGGGTAAGTTGACATTAGAGTTAGTAATTTGGATCAAACTCAACAGTTTAATTTGAATAAGTTCAAAAAAAGTTTGGGTCAAGCTTAACACTTTAAAAAAATCAATGCTTCAAACTTATTTGAGCGACTTAAATAAGATTGAAAAAATTCGGGCTAAACCCAATTGGATTCAGACTTGGCCCAAATACCCTAAAAATATTTTTTAAAAAAATATATAAAATATAACAAATATTAACTAATTTTATATCATTTTAGGTTTAGGGTTTATAAATATTAATAAATTATTTTAGGTCATTTTACACTAAAATACTATATATTTAAATGCATTACTATAGATATTTATGGGTAAACATATCTTTTGATTCATATATTTTACTTGCGTTTTGTTTTTTGTCCCTATATTTTTTTTCGATATTTTAAATCCCTACACTTTTATTTTTCATTGTTTTATGTCCTTTTCAAGGTCTCTTTACTTTGCTCATATAAAGACCAAAAATAATGAAAAATAAAAATGTAGGGACCTATAATATTTAAAAAAAAGTATAAGGATAAAAAACAAAGCGCGAGTAAAGTACAAGGACCAAAAGTTATGTTTATCCATTATTTATATTGTAATATTTTTATTATTATTAATCTATAAAATATCTAAAAATAATATTTAAAATATATTTTAATATTAATTTTTATATTTTAAGACCTACATATTTTTTAAAAAAGTTTTAAATCCTATACATCATTTAAGTATGCAAAAAATATATTTTATATTTTTTATAAAATAAACTAATTAATTTTAAAGGAAAAATTAAATAAAAATGATTTTAAAAATTAAATCTGAATATTTGGGCCTTCCAAAGCTCAAAAAATTTAGACCTGGCTCGGTCGTTTTGGTTTTTCAGAAAGTCAAACTTGTTTAAGTTCATACTCATTCAAGCCAAGATCAAATAAGTTTAGCTCGCTTAAGTTTTTGGCTCAAGTTAAGATAGGGTTACTCAGTTAAAATGCTTCATACATTTGTAAAGGACTTTTATGGATTTGCAAATGACAAAGTTTTTTGTCTTACATAAACTTTTCAAAGCTCATCAATAAAATCCATTTACAAAACTATTGAAAGTTCATTGTCTCAAGGTCATATATACATGTTTTTCCATTTGAAATTGCAAGGCTGAACATTATTAATCGGAGGAGTTAAAACATCTAATTAATTTTTACTTTTTCAATTTTCAATTTATTAAATAGATTTTTAAAAAATATATTCAAATATAAATTTTATTATAATAACTGAATTTAATAAAATAATAAATTTTTGATAAATTAAAAACCAAATACACATTATATTGTTGAAAACTATGCCCTTTATAATATTATCTAGTTACAACTTTGTCCTTTAAATTTAATTTTAACCTGACTGCTTGTTTATCCAGTTGCTTGTGTGTGACACCTTTGAAAGCATCCTTCTCTGGTTATAACCGTTTCCATTTTCTGCAATCGTCCCCGTCTTTCCTCTTTAGTTTTTAAGTTACAATGGGTCTTCCATTTATGTAGATCTACAATAACCCAGGCATGCAAATTACAATATAAAAAAGATTTGTAAGGGAGAGAAAAAATAATAAGCACTTGAGTGAATAAAATGGACTATCAACGTCATGTCTTGTTCAAATACAGATAAAAGCATACATTGGTGGGAAAGAAAAAATGTTCAAACAAAGAATAGAAGATTTTAAAAAAAAAAATCTGAAAAAGAATAGAAGAATTAGAGGCATTGATACATCAAGAATTCAAGATAACCATTTAAACTAGAAAAAATATTTTGATATTGTAAATATGTCAATAAAACTTATCGAATAACAAGCAGAAATGTAATATGACCCTAAAATTAATCTTCTAGATTTTATGATCAAGAATTAAAAAATAATATCAAATATTGCATCATTGAATTTTTAATGCTTAAAAAAATCCAAGCTTATCTTAAAAAATCTCCCTCCTTTGTATTCACCGTCGTTTTTCAATGTAATTCTACGGTGATTATATACACAATATTAAACCAACTTATTAAAATCAGAGGCTGGTAAGGATAGATATATTGGGTGCTTACATGAAATCCTTATACTGCTATAGCGTCCACTTTCCGGGCTCATCAGTGTGATGAGCACACATCTCAAATGCTCATTTGAGCCTTTAATTTTATCATCAATTGATACATGTTGTCCATTTTAAATTTACTTTTTTTTCATATTTTTAATTTTTCATTATTAAAATAAAAATTTATAAAAAATGATTTTTGAAGATTTTTAATATTGTATTATTAAACTTAATATGAAAATCTTACAAATAAAAATTTATTTTTTAAGTTTCGTGCGGGCTAATGGTATCTCCACTGAGAGAAGTTCCTATATTTAGTGTATGGCCATACTTTAAATAAGATTACATCAAATAGGAAGATATTTATGAGCAATAAAAAAAAATTTCTACTAGAATAGAAGAGGAAGGAGTGATGGAGGTTTATCTTAGTAAAATCAAGCTCAAACCATCCAAAACCTTCAAATGTCACGTGCCTTAGCAAATAATAGAGCTCCTTTCATTTATCTCCTTCCTTCTCTTCTATTTTTTGTCAAGCTTGAAGGCTCATTAAATTAGATTTTATGCCATCCACCATGGCAGATAGTACAAAAAAGTTTAGGCTTCATTTGCTCTTCCAATTATGCTAGTCCAATACCTTTTCAAGCCCAATCCAATGTTCGTAGGCAAATCCAATAAGCCTATAAGTTGTCTCTAACCATCTTGAAATCATTTTACTTAAAATTACCTATTTACCCCCATTAATTTAACTTAATCAAGGATTTTAACTTGAGATGTTACACAAATCACCTCATTATAATTTCTATAGAATTAGTTATGATTTTTGTAAGTTGATGAAAGAGTTTGGAAAAATTCATCATTTTCTCTTTAATTCAATTTGTAATTTTTTTCAACTTTTGGTGTCCGGTACTTGAAGATCTTTAAGGTTCAAAATGATCCTTATGAGTGTTTTTTTAGAGGAGTTAAAATA